GGCTCAATGGGTAAAAGCCTTTGCCAACAAGGCTGACAACCTAAATTGGATCTCTAGGACCCACAAGGTGGAAGGAAAGAATTGACTCCTGAAAGTTGTCCTCTGTTCTCTATACATACACTGTCACACACACACACACACACACAAACATACATGCGAACATGCACAAATGTGATTTTAAAAAATTAATAAAACCACAAACTATAAAAGAAAACAGATTTGACTACATTCATTGTACTTTGCTAATTTGGTTCTGGGAATTAAACCCAGGGCCTCTAAGCAGACTAAGCACATGTTCTACCACTGGGTTATAGCCCCAAAACCAACTGCATTCATTTTAAGGCTACTATATGAAAAATGACTACACACAAAGAGACAAGTGACACTTGGAAAAAAAAAATCTGCCATATATGAGAGGAAAACAGACAAACTATAGCTCCCAGGCCAATCCTGCTAGCTGCCTGTCTTTGTAAATAAAGTTTTATTGGAACACAGCTACATCCATTAGTTCATGAACTGTCTACAGCTCATTATGTATCATGATGCACATAGTTGTCACAGAGAACCATATGGCTCACAAAGGTTAAAATATTCACTATTAAGTCCTTTATACAAAGTTTGGAGACCCTGACCAAAAGCATATACAGAAAACTATAAAGCACTGAGGGAAGGGGAGCCAATGGAAAAATAAGGAAACAATACAAACAAGCAATCCACGGAAGAAATAAAAATACTCAATACATATCACAAATAAAGAACTAGTGTGGTGGCACATACCTATAATCCCAGCACTTGGGAGGTGGAGACAGGAGAATTAGCAATTCAAAGCCTGCCACACCTACACAGCAAGTTCTAGGCCAGTTTGGGCTATCTGTGATTCTGTCTAATGAAACAAATCATTGAAGGAACAACAACAACAAAAAATCAGAAACCCACAAATATGAAGAGGCTTAACTTCATTAATAATTAGGGAAATCATTAAATTAAATCATTTGATAATGTCCATTCCTGAAAGATTATGACACAGCCTTTTTTGGAAATTTAGTGCACTTGATGTCAATTCAACCATTCTATTTTTAGAATCTGCCGCAAAGAAATACTTTCGTTCATGCATGCACACACCCACCCAAAGTCATTATAAAGCTATTTGCTGAGATATTATTTTTTTTAATATTTTAATTATTTTTATTTTATGTGTATACACGTATTGCCTGCATGTAGGTTAAGTGCACCCATGTCATGCAATGCCCACGGAGAACAGAAGAGGCTGTCAGATCCCCTGGAACTGGAGTTACAGACAGTTGTTAGCTGCCATGTGGGTGCTGGGATTCGAACCTGGGTCTTCGAACCTGGGTCTTCTGCAAGAACAGCCAGTGTTCTTAACCACTGAGCCATCTCTCCAGCCCCCTATTTACTTTTTGTTTTATTTATTAGTGTGTATGTGTGCACGCATGTGTGTATGGTACATGTTGTGGGGACAGGCAAGTGCCATGGCATACATGCAGAGGTCAGAAAACTTTGTGGCATCTGTTCTTTTCATCTTTTAGGTGGGTCTGGAGGACAGAGCTCAGGTCATCAGGCTTACATAGCTTTTACTCACTGTGCTATCTCATCAGTCCTTCATTAACAATTTATAACAGCAAAACTCATTAGTAACCTTGATGTCCACCAATGAGAGAATTACAGGACATCCCAAAATGGTCCAATATACAAAATGATTTATGTCATTTTTATCTTTTTAAAAATATTTATTATTTTTATTTTATGTGTATGAGTGTATTGCCTGCATGTATGTGAGGGCACCCGTGTTGTGCAATGATGCGGAGGTCAGAAGAGGGCTTCGGATTCCCTTGGAACTGGAGTTAAGGACAGTTTGTAACCGCCATGTGGGTGCTGGGAATTGAACCCAGGTCTTCAGCAAGAGCAGTCAGTGCTCTTAACTGCTGAGCCATCTCTCCAGCCCCTTATGTTTTTATATGTAACATTATGAACAAGAACTCTGAACACTGCCAAGCAGAAAAAAATACACCAAGATACAAGTACATACCTCGGGCTTTAACTGGTTTAAATGAGGGCTAGCAAGACAGTGTGTAAAGGCACTGGCTGCCAAGTATAAGGACCTGTGTTTGATTCCTAGAACCCACATGATAGAAGAATGTTGTCCTGACATTCACAAGTAGGATACTGTGACACATGACCACACAGAGAGAGAGACAGAAAATAAATGTAAAAAACTTTTAAGATTTAAATGACACTTTAATTCACATATATGTACAGAAATGTACAAGAGGATTTGAAGAAAAATGTCACCCTGGGAACAGGGCTGAGTGGACCTGGCACTATCTGAGTGATAAGCAACACAGGGCTGTTGTTTATTACTTATGGTAGACCACTCTGAATTCCAGGGAATCGAAGGCAGGACTCCTTGGCCCCAAACAGGCGCTCTTGTGGCATCTTTCAAAACACAAGCACCCTGAACCTTACTGTCCCTGATGTGCTCATGGGGTAGCTGCTGTAGATCCTGAAGAGAAGGGGACAAAAGGTACTTAGGAATCTAGAATCTGCTCTACCAAATCCTTCCCTTCTCTCCAGGCTTTTCGGCAATGAAAGGAAGTGGTTAGATTAGCTGACCTCCAAGTGCTTCCCAAGTCTGATGCCACAACACAGGCCGGCCCTGGAAGAGGTTCCCTACTTCTCTAGGGGAAAACAAACAAACAAAACCTACAGCTGAGGAAATAAAGCTCAAATCAGAAGGCTCAAAGGAATGTGTGCCCCTGGGAAGATAAGATCCCTAGCGTAGCCACATCCCTGGAGTAGCTAACTGTATCCCCGCCTCTTGAGAAACACATCCTGGCCTATTACAGAGCTGGCAGCCCTGATGATCCCTGATATATCTTCCAGCTTGGACAGTCTAAAATAAGCTCTGGGCAGGAGGGGCAACAGGAAGCAGGGGCTTGGGGAAGACTGAAGAAAATGATTGGCTGAGGTTTCCTAACAGAGCCATAAGGACAGCAAAGGCTGGGGGATGGGGAGATACAGAGAGTAAAGAAAGCTGCTGGCAAGAGCCTCAGGTCTCCCTCCTCTCCTTTCAAGAGCAATTTCTTCCTGAAAGATCCCAGGAGGTAGAAGGCTGGGCTAATCTTTCCCTGCACAAATAACCCTACTCACTATTTCAGAAACTACCATTCCAGTTGTGCCAGAAGGTATCAGACCTGTTTCAATTTTGAATACAGTGAAAAAGAGTACAATACTTTCATTTTACCTCCCCTAAGTTCAATTAATAATCAACAAATTTTTTTGACCGTTTAGACTGAAACTCCTCCTCCTCACTCATATATCTAAGCTTAAAAATCAGAAAACAGCCCCTGCAGCTTAAATATATAATTTACCAGTTTTGGCAGTTGCTTCAAATAACCAGGAAACTTACAAAGCTCTCTCAAAACATCTTTTGCCAAGTCCAGAAACTTAAGTCAAAGTTGACTGTTCTGTGGGTGGTGTTTTGGGTTTGTTTTTAAATCGTAAGGGGAAAAGCTTAATAAAATATTTCTTGCTTTTCACAACAGCATCGTGGGGGAAGTAAGCTGGCAATCACTATTACTAGTTTACAGATAAGGAAATTAAAAAACACAGAGGTAAAGGGCCTCATTAAAGGTCACACCTACACCTCAGAAAGTCATGGCCAAGACTACAAGCAGTCACCTCATAAACTCCAGCTTTCCAGAACAGTGTCAAAATGAGAACAGGGAATCACATTTCTCCCCATTAAAGAGTTTTGCCTTTCCCAAGTGGACAGGTCTCTAAGGCCCGCGGTGTCCTCACAAATCAATAACTGAGGCCTGGAGAATTTGGTTAAGCATCTTGACTGTTTCCTGGCAGTTGGAGGCAACCTCAGAGAAAGGCACCACAACCCTAACCCTTACCCCTACCGCCCTATTCTGGTTTGCTCTGTCAAGAAGTCAAACCCCTGCTTGTGCTTAAATGACATTAAAAACCTCCAGCCAGGGCACTTCAAAGCAACGTTTTCTGTCTAAGCCGTTCTTTTGGAAAAGAGTGGCTACAACTAGGTCACACTGGGCTGGAATACTAGCTCTATGGACTGGCAACCGGAAGGAAGGCACTGAGAGAAAACTGAAGAGACTGGGGAGAAAGGTGAACAGGATACACAGGTCCTTCCCAAGGCGTTGTAAACAAGGCCAGAAATCGTCCACACACAGAAGCCTGAGAGGAACCAGCTCTCAAGGGTCAGTGGGGCCTTAAGTCAAAACTTGGGGATCTTGTACCAACACAAATTCCCCATTTCCTACATCATTCCAGGGTGTTCTCAGTCTTTGACTCTGACGGAGGTTGGGAAACTAACCAGGTCCAAAACCTTCAATCAGCAGAGGGGTCGGGGAAAACAAACTTTCCCCACAATACCCAAGCCCAGACGGCATAAACAGGGATGGAGAAACCTCCCCTCAATAAAAGCTCTCCTTGCCTTCAGTTCAAGAGCAAGACCCTGCTCCCCTCTCTTGGAGACACCCCACCTCTCTCCAGTTCCTGATGGTGACAGTGACTTAAAAGGCAGGCAGGCTCTGTTCGACAAGATGGAAGCCCGTGGCCCAAGCAGACAAGCCAATTCCTGGGACAGTGTGGTGGCCAAGTCTGAGTCCAGTCTCTCAAGACGCCGGGGGTGGGGGTGGGGGTCCTGACAAGCAGCAAGTAATCCCCAAGCGCTTTGTTCCGACCCAGAGAAACCAGGCAATCTTGAGTCACCCAGAAAGCATGAATCACACGGCAGGGCTATGGGAACGGGAAAGGATGTTATTTTTCGGCATACTTGAGGATTTTCCCTTTGTCCCGGCTCTATCGATACTCTTCCCACCCCGATTCCAGCCCCATCCCCCAGCTCTCACGCATTTTTCCTGCTCCATTTTTATTTTCCTGTGGCCTTCGCAGGCGTCGCGCGCCCCGGCCCAACTCGCAGGCAGAGCTCGGGCTCGGCGCCCGCGGCCGCTCACCTGCGTCAGGTCCTCGTCATTGAGCAGATGCGATTCGCGGGGCTTGAAGCAATTCTGACACTTGCTCTTGTTGAAGATGTTGGCCTGGAATTTCCTGCACGGGTTCTCCTTGGCCGCCGACATGTCGGCGCGGCGGCGGCGGCGCGGTCCGGCCCGTCCCGGCCCGGCGCGCTCCCGGG